GTTAATTTTTTTATTTATTATAGAGATGAGGTCTAGCCAAGTTGCCCAGGCTGGTCTCGAACCCCTGGGCTCAGGCAATCCTCTCACCTCTGCCTCCCAGAGTGCTGGGATTACAGGCATGAAGCACTGTGCCTGGCTAATCATTGTAATATAGTTTTTAAACATAAACTAATAGGAATCTTATTTTTTTTAATTGGCAGTTATTTTTCCTTGTTGTTGATTTACCAGACAAAACATTTAGACACACAGTAGAGTGAAACATTTAAAATTAGAATTATCGTAGCCATGTTGTTAGATTTTTTTTTTTGATCACCATAAAGATGGAAGTGTGTGGATTTTAGAAAACCCTACATATTTAGAACCAGAAATTCATGAAGTTTATGAACTAGCAATAAATAGTTTTTCATGCTACGTAGTGCCTTGTCATATATGAATTTTTTTTCTTTTTTGTAAATAAGGTTTTAAGTTGAAATTACTTACCAATGAACTCTTCAAGGAAACAATAAGTTTCCCAGGAGAGAGAAATTTACAATCAAAAGCACAAGAATCTAAATATATTAAATGAGAAATTAGTCTGCTCATGAAAATATTTATGGTAGCCAAATTTTGGCCACACATTTTCTTTGTTAAAGATATTCCTCTTCGGAGTAATTTTTTTTTCTTTTTTGAGTTGGAGTCTCACTTGGTTACCTAGGCTGGAGTGCAGTGGCATGCTGCTCATGGCCGCCACAGCCTCTACCTGCTGGGCTCAGGAGATCCTTCCACCTCAGCCTTCCAAATAGCTGGAACTATAGGCGTGTGCCACCATGCCTAGCTAATTTTTGACTTATTGTAAAGACAAGATCTCACCATGTTGCCCAGTCTGGTCTCAAACCTGTAGACTCAGGCAATCCTCTTGCCTCTCCCTTCCAAAGTGCTGGGATTACAGGCATGAGCCATTGAGCCTAGCTCAGATTAATTCTTATTATTGAGTTTAAATATTACTCTGCATGATACATAAAGTACAAGAGATTCAATCTAAGCTTGTGTCAATGTGTTCAATTATTATTTTTTATTACTTTATTATTATGGTTATTTTTGTGTGTAGAGACATGATCTTGCTATGTTTCCCAGGCTGGTCTTGAACTCTGGCCTCAAGTGATCCTCCTGCCTCAGTTTCCTGAAGTGCTGGAATTACAGGCATGAGCCACCTTGCTTGGCCTAGATTATTCTTCTTTTTTTTTTTCCGAGTTGTAGTTTCACTCTCTTGCCCAGACTGGAGGGCAATGGCACGCTCCCGGCCACTACAGCCTCAACCTGCTGGGTTCAGGTGATCCTTCCACCTCAGCCTTCCAGGTAGCTGGAACTACAGGCATGCGCCACCATGCCTTGCTAACTTTGAGATTTATTGTAGAGATGAGGTCTCACCAGGTTGCCCAGGCTGGTCTCGAATCCATGGGCTTGGGCAATCCTTTCACCTTGGCCTCCCAAAGTGCTGGGATTATAGGCGTGCGCCACCCCGCCTGGCCAGATTATTCTTTAATGAAGATACTTTATTAATTCTTGATAATCAAGAAGTTTCTCACTTGTCTATAACTTTCAGTATTTAAATAAGTGTAATTATTCTTAATTTTTGCCATTATTTATCTATTATCCAAAAATTGGTCTTTTGAATACATTTTAAAATCTCTCAAATATAGTTTACACAGTGAAATAAGCAGATGATTCTATGCAGGATTCAAGATGCACAGATCTTTAAAAAAAAGAATATGACACTTTACTCATTTCTTACCTCATGGGGTTATAGCTATAGGATTGCACTTAATGATATTCTACAAAGATCTGTTTCTCCAAATTTTCTCAATTAGTACAAATCAGAGCATGAAAATTTCAAAGGACTTTGAAAATCGATTTGATGAAGTAATGGTACCACTTTGCTTTTTTAATGTGTCATATTTCAAAATATTTTATGTAAATCTGCTTTGTTTTATTGTTGATTAGGAATAAAGTCTGACTAAACATTAATTTCTAACCACTTTCAATTTTTGTTCACCAGTAATTTTACACGGATACCACATTTAGCAGGAACAGAACAAAACTTTCAGCTTGCAAAGCAAATTCAATCCCAGTGGAAAGAATTTGGCCTGGATTCTGTTGAGCTAGCCCATTACGATGTCCTGTTGTCCTTCCCAAGTGAGACTCATCCTAACTACATCTCAATAATGATGAAGATGGAAATGAGGTAAAAAAAAAAAAAGAATAAAAGAAGTATCTTCTCCTATTTCAAATACCATCTAGGAAAGAATGCTGTGTACCGCCTTCAAATATTGATAGAAAACATTATTACTGAGTCTTGTGAATAATACCTTTAATATCTCATTACCAGTATCAATTGCTTTTTTATGGTGTATTAATTTAGTGTGGTGATAGAAAGGTTTTCAGAAAGTAATGCTTGATAACAGTTGCTATTTTTTGTATTACACACCAAAATAAAATATAACACTAGTAAACGCCCAAGCAACTAAAATTAATACTTTTGGGAGGTTTAATTTATAAAAACGCTGCATAGATTTGGATTTGCTAGAAAATTCAGAGACCCGGTCTGCAGTTTGAGCCAGCAGGTTTTTATCAGTACTTAATGATTATTTCTCAAATGACCATGTATTTAGCTTTGTGTCAGGTACTTGCGTGAGGGCATTTGGAGGGGAAAGGGTTTGGAGGCAAGGTCTACAGAAAGATGTCTATTCTAAAGAATTTATAATCTTGTTTGCATGTACTTGAGAGAGAAGATAATGCAGACAAATTGAGATATTCTATCATGATAAATGTCCAATATGAAAGATCATACAACATAGCTTACATATTCTTCCTATTTAAGATACCTTAGTTTTAGAGCTATCATATTTACAAGAGTCTTTTACAATCTAGATAGCTTCCTTCAGTCCTTTTATTACTGGGCCTTCAACTATGCCCAGCTTGATCAGTCAGTTGAAAACATCATGTATATATTTTATTGCTTTCTTTTCAAAAGATGTCAGTAAGTCAGTCAGTCTCTTCTTAATGATTAATATGTTGTTTTATTTTGGAGTCAGTGATATAATCCCATGTTAAATTTCCTAATATAATTGGAGCTTTCTATATTAACTAATATTTTAAATCTAGTAGTTGACAGCTTAAATAAATATTATTAAGGTGGACATAGTGGCACATGTCTGTAATCCTAGATACTTGGGAGGGTGAGCTAGGAGGATCACTTGAGCCCAAGAGTTTAAGACCAGCCTGAGCAACATAGTGAGATCCTATCCTCTCCCCAAAAAACGTAATAAAAATATTATTAAACTACTTCAAAATTCAGGGTATTCACTCTGTGGTTCTCTTCATATACATGTTAATAAATTTATATGCTGCTGGGCTCAGTGGCTCAGCCTGTAATCCCAGCGCTTTGGGAGGTCGAGGTGAGTGGATTGCCTGAGCCCGTGGGTTCGAGACCCACCTGGGCAACTTGGAGAGACCTCATCTCTACAGTAAAAATAAAAAATTAGCCGGGTGTGGTAGCGCGCCTCTGTAGTTCCAGCTACTTGGAAGGCTGAGGCGGAAGGATTGCCAGAGTCCAGCAGGTCGAATCTGCGGTGGCCAGGAGTGGCCACTGCACTCTAGTCTGGGCGACAGAGTGAGACTCCAACTCAAAATAAATAAATAAATAAATAAATAAATAAATAAATAAATAAATTGATATGCATTTTTTGCAGCTAAAATAAAATAAGTGGTTGTATATGTATATAATTAAGTACTGAAGGGTCTTTAAAATTATATTTAGAAAAATTACTTAATGATTCAATAAATTATTAAAATGTTTAAAGTATGCATATACTTAAATCTCTGTTTACATGACATAAATTTGGGGATTGTCTATGTACAATGTGAAAAATAGCAGATTTTCATTTTTCTTTTTTTCTCCTTATCTCCCAATTTTGACTGTACCATAACTTCATTTTACTTCATTATTTAATTTTGCAAAATAATGAAGTAAAGACTATCACATAAGATTATTAAGATTAATAAGATTGCTAAAGACTACTACATAAAACAAAATGAATCGGGTAGACATTTAATTTTGGAGATTTTCCTTAATTATGTCAACTGCCCAATGCTTCTTAATTTTAAGTTACATCATTAGCTCATTTTAACTTTTATCCAAGTGACACATGCACACAGTCACCCAGTTCTCTTGAATGTCTTGTTTTCTGTTTTTCCCATTCCAGAGGTAATCACTATTCAACTATGAGTGGGTTCGTTTGATATTTGCCTCTATTTTTATTTTTTGAGTTGGAGTCTCACTCCGTCACGCTCGGCCACTCCAGCGACGACCTGCTGGGCTCCCGCGATCCTTCTGCCTCAACCTTCCAATTAGCTGGAACTACAGGCGCGCGCTACCGCGGCTGGCTAATTTTTGGTTTATTGTAGAGACGAGGTCTCGCCAAGTTGCTCGGTCTGGTCTCCAATCCGTGGGCTCAGGCAATCCAGCCTTGGCCTCCCAAAGTGCTGGGATTACAGGCTGAGCCTCCGAGCCCAGCCAGCCTCTGTTTTTATAAATAACATGTTCGTATTGCTTTTTTTTTTTGTTTCCCAGATTCCGGTGTTACTGACAATGTGACAATTTAACTTTATTTTCATCCCTCTGCCCCACCTGTCCTCTTCCTATCTCCCATCTCCCAGTGCAGTTTAATTGTTAGGACTACGTACTCTTAGCTGAGTTACATGATAAACTGATTTCCTTTTAGGCTCTTACGCAATACAGACAGTAAGTTCTTCACCCCACAGACAACAAATATGATTGGCATTTTGTGGATCTTATCAGGAATATTTCAGTGTATACAGAGACTGTTTCACTTTTGTTTATACAGAGATAGCAAACCATATAGATTGAACTATATATTGACCTTTTTATGTCACAAAAAGTAAATAGAAATTTGTAAACCAAAACTAACATAATTCAGAATACATAATTTGAGGTTACTAGTGAATTTTGGAAAGTAAATAATGTTCTAAGATTCTACCTTTGATAAAGTCAACCAAAGAAAGTAATTTACTTGACCTTAAAGACCTTAAAAAAAACTTTCCCGGCCGGGCTCGGTGGCTCAGCCTGTAATCCCGCACTTTGGGAGGTCGAGGTGAGTGGATTGCCTGAGCCCACAGGTTCGAGACCTGCTTGGGCAACTTGGTGAGACTTCATCTCTACAAAAAATCAAAAAATTTGCCGGGCGTGGTAGCGTGCGCCCGTAGTTCCAGCTGCTTGGAAGGCTGAGGCGGAAGGATCGCTGGAGCCCAGCTGGAGCCCGCTCCCGGCCCCTGCACTCCAATCTGGGCAACAGAGTGAGACTCCAACTCAAACAAAACAAAACAAAACTTTTTCTAGTCAGAATAACTCATAACTTGCTGTAAGATTCCCAGTGGTACAATGGTGTTGTAAAATTGATTACCACAAAGGCAAATCAAGTGAGGCAAGCTTTCCCTTGCCTGAAAGACTTAAATAATGGCTTCATTTCTAGATGTGTTTTTATTGCACATTAGTGTAGTTTCCCTTATAATCTTATCTAGTGATTAAAATGGATTTGTACTCTATGTGCATCACAAAAAAAATATAAGAAATCTGGAAGGTGTAAGGATTATTGATTGATTTCATTGTAGAGTCTATCAGCTTCAAGAATGGGAGGTTATTAGTATTCCAGTGAGTTTAATATAGTATCAGCTCAGATTCACTCCCTCACCCACCTGTGTACTCTTGCACTGGCCAGGACTTATGGTATAATATTGAACAGAAGCGATAATAGCAGGTATTCTTGACTTTCTTCTGGTCTGGAAGGGATGGTCTTTAATGTTTCATCATTAATTTTAATATTTTTAAATTGAATAAGACTTTATGCTACAGATTTAAATTAAATTGTCAACACAGTTTTTTTATTCAGATGTGCATGTAATTTTTTTTATTGATCTGATGAAGCCATTAAGTGATAGTCTAATGATAAACTAACCTTACATTTTTGGAATTTGTAATATGTAAGTCAGTATTAGGGTTTAAAATTCACACATATATTCAGTTTATATTCATAGTATGTTTAGTCTGTATTTTTTGAAATTGTTATAATTACAATGTTCTACTTGCCTTATAAAGTAATTTGGATTTTTAACATTTTCTGAAAAAGGTTCTTTTAATCTTTTTTTTTTTTTTTTCCTGAGTTGAAGTCTTACGCTGTCGCCCAGACTGGAGTGCAGTGGCACGCTCTTGGCCACCTCCAGCATCGACCTGCAGAGCTCCGGCTATCCTTCAGCCTCAGCCTTCCTAGTAGCCAAAACTACAGGCACGCGGTACCACGCCCGGCTAATTTTTTATTTATTGTAGAGACAAAGTTCTTGCCAAGTTGCCCGGGCTAGTCTCAAACCCACGGGCTCAGGCAGTCAACTCGCCTCAGCCTCCCAAAGTGCTGGGATTACAGACTGAGCCACCGAGCCTGGCCTCTTTTAATCTTTCAAATCAGTTGGCCTTGACACTCTATTTTGTGGAGGATTTATAATGATTGATCTAATTTTTTTATTGTTATGACTATTTAGATTTCAAAAATATATGATGTCAGTTTTCATGGGTTTTTAAAATGCATTTTTTCATTTCATCTAAGTTTTCAAATTTATGGTATAGTTATTTGTAGTATTTTCCTATCTTTTTAGATCTGTGTAGCACCTGTAGATGTGCTTCTGTTTTCATATCTAATTTTTTTTTTTTTTTTTTTTGAGTTGGAGTCTCACTCCATCGCCCAGACTGGAGTGCAATGGTATGCTCACGGCCACTTCAGCGTCAGCCTGCTGGGCTCAGGCGATCCTTCTACCTCAGCCCTCCAACTAGCTGGAATTACAGGCATGCACTTCATGCCCAGCTAATTTTTTTTTGTTTTTTAATCATAGAGATGAGGTCTGGTCAAGTTGCCCAGGCTGGTCTCGAATCTGTGGGCTCAGGTAATCCACTCACCTCGGCCTCCCAAAGTGCTGCGATTACAAGCTGAGCCACCGAGCCCGGCTTCTAATATTATTTATTTGTTCTTTCGCTATATTTTTTCTTATTAATCTTAGAAAAATGACAACTTTACTAATGTATTAAAAGAATGAACTTTGGCTTTGACAGTATATTTTATTGCTTCTATTCTTATTTTATAACTGCCTCTTTTGCCTTCCTTATGCTTACTTTGATGTTCTTTGTAACATCTTCAGTTCATGCTTACCCTACCAATGTCCAGCCTTTCTTCTTTTCTGTATGAGTGTTTAGAGCCATCCTAAGAACCACTTCAACTAGATCTCAGTGAAGCCTTGGTGAAATAGTGTGAGTGTAGCTGCCTTCCAACTAGGTCTATCTGTTTGATCTGAGTTCTAAATTACATATATTGTGATCAGATATTGTGGTACGTAGGACACTAATTTTTTGACAATTGATGAGGCTTCCTTTAGAGTCTAATACATGATCAGTTTTTATAAATGGTCTGTGTTTCTTTGAAAAAAATCTACATTTGTCAGTTGTTGGATTTAATGTATTTGTTCATTAGTTTGAGCTTGCTAATTATAAGGCTGAAATCTCCTTTATCTTTAATGTGCTCTCATTTTGTGTGCTTTATTAATTACGAAGACAAAGATTAAATTATCTCACTGTTGCGATATATTTAAAAGACTTTCTCATTGTTATTCTGTCAGTTTCTGCTTCCTGTAGTTGGGACTCTATTATTAGATGTAAGTAAATATAAAATTGGTGCAATGAAACTTTTATACTTAGATGCAGTGGCCTTCAGAAACTCCATGTGGTTCTTTGACCTAAAATTGTTTTATAAGTATTTTTTTAAAGTTGGTATTTGCTTGGTATTTTTGTTTTGTTATTACAAAATTTTCTTGGTATTTTTGTTTTGTTATTATAAAATTTTCTATGTTTAAGCCACTTCTTGTAAAATGATACACAGCTGATTTGATTTAGTCTGATATAGTATGCTTTTTATTCATTCTTTTTTCTATTCACATTTTTTGTGTGACTACAGTTATATAGTATTTAGGTAACTTTCACTTTCTTATTATATTCATGTTATTCTTCCTTAAATCTTCTCTTTGGGCTTCCATTTTTTTTTTGGATTTTGGAAACGAATTTTTTTTTCCTACTTAACAGTGTCATAATTTAATAGATTTTTTGAAGTATAAAGACATAAGAATGCTTTCATTTTGGCCAAACACTACCAATTTATAAACATAATTCTAATTTAATATTGTTTTATAAACTTGAAAACTACAAGTTTATTATTACTATATTAATAAAATATTATTATTATTATATACAGTCTCTATTTGTTAATTTTTACCACACATTTGCAATATTTCTTTTTTTTTTTTTTTGGAGTCAGAGTCTCACTCAGTCAATCAAACTGGATTGCAGTGGCACAGTCCATATGTGTGGCACCACATGGTCCAGGCTGGTCTTGAACTCCTGGTCTCAGGCAATCCTCTTGCTTTGGCCTCCCAAAGTGCTGAGATTACAAGTGTGAGCCACTGTGCCTGGCCGTAGATTTGTAGTTTGATACTTATTGTCTCTCAGCACGCTGAAGAATTATAGCTTTCATTGCTACTGTTGAGAAATCAGCTGCCAGTCTAATTTTTGTTCTGCTTAATCTTGTATAACCTTTTTTGCAATTTTTAGCATTAAGTACTATATTGAATATTGCAGTTTTACTATGATGGGTTGGGTATAGATTGTTTTTTATTCATCTTGGTCAGGATTCATTGGGCCTCCTAAATCTGAAATTATGAAGTTTATACTTTTTGCCAATTTTGGAATATTCTTAGTCATTATATATTCAAATTTAGGTCTTCCACATTATTTCTATTCTCTTTCTGTATAACTGTGCATCTTAAACATTTTCATTTTGTTTTTTAGGTCAATATTTATTTCATGTTTCATTTCTATGATTCTGTGCTGCATTCTGGATTATTTCTTTAGACCTGACTAGCAAATTTATTTTTTTCATTATTTATTTATTTATTTATTGTTTTGGGTCAGACTCACTCTGTCGCCCAGGTTGAAGTGCAGTGGCTCGGTCACGGCCACCGCAGCCACAAACTGCTGGTCTCAGATGGACCTTCTGCCTCAGCCTTCCAAGTAGCTGGGACTACAGTCATATGCCACCATGCCTGGGTAATTTTTCTTGATTTATTGTAGAGACGAAGTCTCACCAAGTTCCCCAGGCTGGTCTTGAACCCCTGGGCTCAGGCAGTCCTCTTGCCTCGGCCTCCCAAAGTGCTGGGATTACAGGCATGAGCCACCACACCCAGCTACAAATTTATTAATCTTCCACAGGTTTGTCTAAATATCTTTTATCCACACATTATTTTTAATTTTTCAAACTAAATTTTAATTCAGTATTATATGTATAATAAATATAAGAAAGACTGTAGTCTTTTCCGGGGTGATTTAACTCTATGTTCTTCTGTCGGCTTTTTTTTTCATGGTACTTTGTGTGTGTTTAGTAATTTTGTGGCTCTTCTTCATTATAACTTTATGGGATCACTCTAAGACCTGAGTCTAAAGCTAATTTCTCTTGATTATATATGCCAAGGGGCACCACAGACCTGGCACTACTTTATTTTATTTATTTATTATTTTTTGAGTTGGAGTCTTACTCTGTTGCCCAGGCTAGAGTGCAGTGGCACACTCACAGCCACTGTAGCCTTGACATGCTGGGCTCAGGTGATCTTTCTGCCTCAGTCTTCCAAGTAGACGGAACCACAGGCACGTGCCATCATGCCCAGTTAATTTTTAAAAAATTTATTGTAGAGATGAAGTCTCACCAAGTTGCCCAGGTTGGTCTCAAACCTCTGGGCTTAGGCAGTCCTCTCACCTTGGCCTCCCAAAGTGCTGGGATTACAGACTTGAGCCACCGCACCCGGCCTAATGTTACTTTAAAATAATTTTCTTAGCTTAAGGCATATTGCATGGGTAGTGAATGAAAAATTGTAGGGTTATGAATTCTCTTGAGCCCCCCTTTTCCCCTTTATTCCAAGACATCACTTTCTATGGAACAAGTTTATTTCTAATTTCTAATTTATCTTTAACCCTAAAGGGGCTAAAGACCAGCTGTATGCTGGGGTCTTTTGTTAGACTCCTTTAACTAAATTGACTTTAAACTCTCTTACCTCCTGCATCCCTTTGTGGGGCCCGAGGCTTTGATAGCAGCTTCAACTAATGCAAAAGAGACTTTAGTGCTCAAGCTCTCAAGATTCCTGCTTTTTTTTTTTTTTTTGACTCTGAATATTCTTCCTACATTTGTTTTTTCTTAACTCAGTTATACACTTATAAAGATATGTGTTTGCTCCAGTGTTTCTCATTCTTTTCAGTTGCTCAGTGTATTTTGATACTATCAGATGTGGATCCCCAAATGTGTAATTTTTTGGTTTAAGTGAATTTACTATTTAATTTGTTCCCGAATAATTATCTTAGATGATTATAAGTGACTACAGTTAGTATATAATATTTCTTTTTAGTTGGGGATTAAAATTTTCCTCCCAAATAAAAAACTGGTGCTTATAGTTTCTCTCAAAAACCTCATGAGTATAATTAAACTTTGTGAAGCAACCATACCAGCCTTTTACATCAGAAACTTTCTGTAGTGCATAGTTATTTTCTGGTTGTTGGATTTTGTCTGTTTTTCTTTTTTAACTTTACCACTCTAGTAGATTTTACTATTTTGAGGACAGAGTCTGTAACTGACTCATCTCGTGACTTCCTCATGCTTCTAGCACAGTGTTAGGTATCTGAAAAGTACTTTCACATTTCTGAAGGATTAACTCTCTATTGACATAAAAGATAATATGCATTTTTTTCTTGTTTGACTGTAGCCATCAAACTTTTGATTGTAGTATTTTGTTTCTCTAGATTTTCAACACATCATTATTTGAACCACCTCCTCCAGGATATGAAAATGTTTCGAATGTTGTGCCACCTTTCAGTGCTTTTTCTCCACAAGGAATGCCAGAGGTAAAAACACAACACGATGAAATAAAAATGACAAATAGGAGCCCTCCTTCCCCTCATACATTCTGGCAATAATTAAAGGGCAATTAAAGGATTTTAAGTGGAATCCAAATTCACTTTTTCTCTACATTTAAGAAACTAGAATTTGATAGTAAAAAAGACTGTACTGATTATGATTTGTTCATGGTGTTTTTAAAGATAAAATTTACTGCAGTGAGAATCCCAAATCCCAAAGGCACATTTATTGATTTTTGACAAATGCATATACCTGTGTGATCTAAGACCCATCAGTGTATAGATATTTTCATCACTTGCAAGTTCCTTTATGACCACTCTTAACCAATTTTGCACACCCCTGAGGCAATCGTTCTGATTTTTTTTACCACCATAAAATTAGTCTTGCCTGTCATAGAAATCCACATAAATGGAATTTTATTGCCACGTAATTAATATTTTGTGTCTAGTTTCTTTGACTAAGCATAGAGTCTTTGAAATCACATTTTTGTATTTATCAGTAGCTTGTTCCATTTTATTGCAAAGTAATTTCCATTATATGAATATCCTATATATCTTACCACAGTTGTATAGCACTGATTAATTTTCAAAGGGTTTTAATGAGGGTATTGTTGCCATTTTCAAATGAAAAGCATGGATGTCCTTCCTAGAAAATTTTATGTGGTTTTAAATTTAAAATTTCTGTGTGTGAGTATCATCTGATATTTTACCACTAGTCCCTAGATTCCTGCATGGTATTTTGCTTTTGGTGAGTGTATTTGTTTGTTTTCTATAACAAAATACCACAGACTGGATAATTTATAAAGAATATAAATTTATTTTATCACAGTTCTGAAAGCAGGGAAGTTTAAGATCAAGGTGCCTGCAGGTTTGGCTGTCTGGTGAGGGCTGCTCTCTATTCCAAGATGGTACCTTGATGCTGCATCCTCTGGAGGGAAGAACACTGTCCTCATGATGCAAGGCAGAGGGTGAAGCAAACCGAATGACTGCAGAAGCCTTTTTTTTTTTTTGAGTCTCACTCTGTCACCCAGGCTGGAGTACAATGGAACGCTCCCAGCCACCACAACCTCGACCTGCTGGGCTCAGGCGATCCTTCCACCTCAGCCTTCCAAGAAGTTGGAACTACAGGCATGCGCCACCACCCCTGGCTAATTTTTTTATTTATTGTAGAGATGAGGTCTCATCAAGTCGCCTGGGCTGATCTTGAATCCCTGGAATCAGGCTGAATCTCTGGAATCAGGCAATCCTCTCGTCTCTGCCTCCCAAAGTGCTGGGATTACAGGCTAGAGCCACCGCGCCTGGCCTGAAGCCTTTTTAAAAAGGCCTTAATCCCATTCTTGAAGGAGGAAACCTTACGGCCTAATTAAAGGCCCCACCTCTTAATTCTATCACACTGGTCAACAGTTCCAACCCTGAATTTTAGTGGAGACATATTCAAACCATTGCAGTGAAAAAACTAAATTTGAAACTATTGAATATAATTTATTAAAATCTCTTAAAAAGTTCTCCCTCCTAATATGTTTAATATTAAGTAAAGTCAACATTTTGTTGACTATATGGAAGTCATTTCAAAAGAACAATCAACAATATACCTAATGGTATAATATTAGAAAAATTCTCCCTAAAAACTGGCACATAATAAGAATGCTTGCAATCATTGAAATTATTTCATAATTGATATGAACTAGAAATAAGAGTTATAACAGTTGGAGATGAAGAGGCAGTGTATTTTAGATTTCAGGTATAGTGAGGTGAGCTAGACTTACTCCTCAGGTTAAGGCATACTCGCATAATGGGTTCATATGAGTCCTTCATTTTTTTGTTTGACTTACACTTCTTCTCATTGTTATACTCCTTCCTATTTCTCTTATCCATTCCCCAACCCTATACATCTACTCTAATGTATTTATGTTTCTAGATATGTATGGATTCTTGAAAATGCATGGTTTGTTTTGTGTTTGATGTGTTTTAAATTTATATAAATTGTATCATACTTTGGGTTTTACTTGGTTTCTTACTATTTAATTTTTAACTTTTAATTTTATAGGGATGGGGTCTTGCTTTGTTGCCTAGGCTGGTCTCAAACTCCTGGCCTCAAGTGACTCTCCCACCTTGGCCTCATGATGTGCTGGAATTACTGGCATTAGCCACCATGCTCAGGTCCTGAATTTGTTCTGTTTTCAGTCTTTTTAAAGTTTATCTGCATTGCTTCATATCAGGGTTGTTCATTATTTTTTACTGTTGCATATTATTTTTGTTTTATGTGCACACTGCAAGTAATTTAGTGGCAAACACAACTTTGCCTTTAAATTCCTATTACCACAAACAGTGTCAGAATGAATATGCTCATGTATATCCTCATGTGGGCCTGTGAGGGCTCTGTAAGTGATAAACTAAGCCTGAGATTGCTAGGTCATAGGGAATATTTAATTTCACAGGGTCCATCCTATGGTGTTTGATATTCCCACTGATAGTGTGTGATGATCTCTTTCCTTATATGTTTATTAATGCTTAAAATTATGTAACTTTATCATATTTCTCCATTTAATTTTTCTACTCTTGTTTTAATTTGTTTTAAATCACATTTCTCTGATAACAAATGAGATTGCTTATCACTATAAATATTTATTAGCTATTCTGGTTTTCTACTTAATGAAATAATTGATTATAGTATAACCTTCTTGTTGAATTTTTTACTTTTTAAAAATTAACTTCTAGGGTTTCTTAAGCATTTATTCATTTAATATTGGTTTTAGATATTTCAAATATCTTCTCCTAATTTTTCATCTTTTTGATCACTTTACTCATGTTTCCTTTTACTAAAAATAAATTTTTAATTTTGATTTTTGTCAAATTATTCTCCTTATGTTTTTGCACTTTGGAATTTTTTTTTTTTTTAATACAGGATCTCCAATTTGTTGCCCAGGGAGTGTAGTGGCTATATCATAGCTCACTTAAGCCTTGAACTCCTCAAGTGATCTGCCTCAGTCTCCTGAGCAGCTGGGGTTACACAAGTGTGCCACCGGCCTGGTTAATTTTTTGAATTATTATTTATAGAGATGGGTTCACTCTAAGTTGTCCCAGGCTGGTCTTGAACTCCTGGCTTCAAATGAGTCTCCTGCCTTGGCCTCCCAAAAAGTTAGTATTACAAGCATGAACCACCATGCCCAGATTGAGTCTTCTTTATTAATTCTCTCCTTTTTCATTATTTACAGTGATATAACTGTATAATCAGAATACTAAAAAATTAACTAATAAATCTTTATTTAAAACAGTATTAGTATTACTAGATTGGAGCTAAATATATATGAACAAATAGTATATGACAGCAGAAAATATAATTAAGAAATTTTAAAATAGCTGTAAGATATAAAATACGTTTAAAAAATCTTAAATGAGTGTGAACTAGTTAAGAACATTGTTAAATATATTGAGCAGGAAAGGATTATGTGTAAATAAACAGGCTATGTTTTTGGATGGAAATATAGAATGTTAGAAGAAGAAAACTACACCCAGATTAGTTTGTAGGTTTACTGTATTACCTGTTAAAATCCCCCAAATAACTCATGGACTTTGGCATTATTTTATTCATAAGAAAGAGTCCTAAAGATTATTTTATCTTACTTCTTTCAAATAGACTTAAACTCTTCCAACTCTATGTTTGGTTACAAGGATTCTGTATGGGACTGCTGTTTGAGTTCCAGTATTAGAGGAGTTTGCAGACTGGTGTGCCTCATTCTTTCTACATTGTGTAGTCTTTACGTGTGTTTAAGATATTTCACTATCAGCAGTCTTTGAATCTACGTCTGAATCTTAGAGAGTATGAAATACTGAATTCTGCTTTAATCTACTTAAAATTGGCAATTTGACAGTGTCCAAAAAATATAGTCTAATCTGGTGGTTCAACTTTAGCATCTATTAAAATAATCTGGAGGATTTATAAAACACAGATTCTCTTCCCAACCCCTGAGTTTCAGGAGGTCTGGGGTAGAGCCAGAGAGTTGGTCTTTCTATCAAGGGCCTAAATGACGTTTCTGAGGGTTCAAGGACCATGCTCTGAGAACCACTGGTTTTGCCTCCCAATTCTGTCTATATTAACAAGGGCAGGAACCCAATAGGTTTAACGGAAACAGGGAAAATTCCAGGCCAGTAATGCAAGATTGTCTTTATTCATAGTCGTGAAACAATGGCATAGGGTAAATTATACAAGACACTCTTTGTCTGAAAACAAAGCTTTTTTCTAACTAAGTGACAACTTGCATTTGAGAAGTGTTGAGATGGCACATCTATCATACTTGTTTTCATTTTCAAAGTTTACTATTATTTGTAAACTAATGTCTCCTTCAGTTCTTTCTCCATCATAATTTGTTTAGTGAGGATTGCAGATTTATCAAAAGATAGCTGCCATTTAGACACATTTAAAGAAATAGTCTCCCCAAAGTTAGTGAAAATCATTAAGGATAAATTTGAAGTAGAATACTTACTCTAAAATTATTTGCAGCTATCAAATTGGCAATGACTTTGTAGCTACAGTTAAAATAGAATGAGTATGCTCCAGAGAGAGCTACAATTATAAATCAGACATACAGTGATCATTAGTAGTGCGTTAATATTGCATTGATTTTAAGAAGAAATACACGAACTGAATGTAATTCTTTTACTGAAGCAAAGATTCAAGTGTCACTTTCCCAATCAGACTTAACTCATTTTATTTAATATCGCACGTACTCAAGCATTAGTTCACTGTTGGCCTACCCTATTTAAGTATTTTTTGAGTTTTTTTCAGTAGTACTTAATCACTTTTTTTTTTTTGAGTTGGAGTCTCACTCTATCACCCAGACTGGAGTGCAGTGGCCGCTCCTGGCCACCGCAGCCTCTACCTGCTGGGCTCCGGCGATCTTTCTGCCTCAGCCTTCCAAGTAGCCGGAATTACAGGCATGCGCTACCACGCCCGGCTGATATTTTGATTAATTGTGGAGATGAGGTCTCACTGCCCAGGCGGGTCTCGAACCCGCGGGCTCAGGCCATCCACTCACCTCAGCCTCCCAAAGGCACAGGATTACAGGCTGAGCCATCAAGCCTGGCTCTTAATCACTTTTTAATATGCTATATAATTTGTTTAGTAATTAAATGTAATGTTTTACCTTACTATGTTTCTCCCATTCACATTACAAGCAGTTCCTGACTTAAGATCATTCAACTTGGGATTTTCCTGCTTCATGATGGTGTGAAAGCTCTACTAATTCATATGCTTCTTGAATTACTGTGGCATTATATCTGGATAAATCCATTGTAAATCAAAAATATCATAAGTCAAAAATGCATTTTCACTGGGCATGGTGGTGCACGTCTGTAATCTCAGCACTTTGGGAGGCTGAGGTGGGAGTATTGCTTGAGTCCAGGAATTAAAGACCAACCTAGGCAACATAGTGAGACCTCGTCTCTACAAAAAATAAATTTAAAAAATTAACTGGGCATAGTGGTGTGCACCTGTAGTCCCAGATACTTAGGAGACTGAGGCAAAGGGGTTGCCTGAGCCCAGGAGGTTGAGATTGTGGTGTGCTTGAGCCATGCTAATGCCACTGCCCTCCAGCCTCTCCCCTACTCAAAAAAATCTAATGAGGGAGGACCGATTAGGCAGAGGGAGAAGTCACACTGCAATGCCAGTTCAAAGACAACCTTGGATGACCTTATGAGGAGCTCAGGAATAGCCCCTCAGAATTATCCTAGGTTAGACCGAGATGTCCAGGGCTTTACAGTCCTATGTCATTCAGTCATTGAAAATGTGGCACCCTAAGAAGGAGCATGACCTGGAGGAAAGAGGCTGTCTGTAGCTGAGGGACTGACAGCTGACGACTGTCTACAGGGAGCCTTCCCTGTAGCCGGAACAAAATGCTCCTCCTTGATGGGAAATCTAGGCAGCAAATCCCAGTCCAGCACAAACAGATATTTTGCTTTGGAGTAAAATGCTATGGGAGAAGGGGAACAACATACCAGTTCAAGGAGAAAAAGAAATGATAAAATTATGACTGTAGAGAACAACATGTTATTGTATTTTTTTAATGGATGTTGAACAGTAAATATAGTATTTAAATTTCTTTGGCTACATCTAGAAAGTGATTTAAAATTGCTTTTAAAATGTTAATATTTATAGTATGGTAAAAATTGCATTCTTTGCAACTACTTACTGGTATGGTAAATTTTAGATGTTGGTGTAAAATATATGAGAAAGTACATTACTTTTCAAATTTAATGTAGTGACTACATAGGGAAGAAATGTTGGAAGATCATTGATCTAATTTAACAAGTCACTTTACAGATGAGAATATTGAGACTCAGAACTGTTATAAGATTTGCACATAATTACATCAATGATGGAAACCAGACCCGTAAAGCACTGATGTTATCTGTCCATTTTTCCTTACCTAGTAGTTGTGATGATCCATTAAGCTATTATTTGTTAAGGAACTTAGAAGAGAGTAGAGCTCTCATTAAGGGAATCTTAACCTAGGGTGTCAGTAACCATTCAAATGGCATGTTGCAATGTGCATATTTTAGCCTTTTTCTGGGGGAGTGCATCTGTAGTTTCATAGCCACTAAGTAGGGGTGGATACAAACAGATTTTGTTATATACATCACATGTCTCTAACCCATCTGTTTGTGTTTCTTTGAGGCTCATGCTTTCTTGAGTTCCTTGCAGGCTTTTGCCTTGTCTCTCTCTCTCAAAGATGTCAGATGAGTCCTATGCAGAGAAACCTCCTTGTGTATCTTAAATAATTCCTGATTTCAACAGGGTGATTTAGTGTATGTTAACTATGCACGAACTGAAGATTTCTTTAAACTGGAGCGGGACATGAAAATAAATTGCTCTGGGAAAATTGTGATTGCCAGATACGGGAAAATTTTTAGAGGAAATAAGGTAAGAATCTTCTTTTTCCTTTCTGTAAATATAGAAGTTATAGTGGATCTTATATGGTAGAGCCATCTCCTTAAAACTTTCTTTTTTTCTTTTTTTCTTTTTTTTGAGTTGGAGTTTCACTCTGTTGCCTAGGCTGGAGCGCAGTGGCACGCTCATGGCCACCCCAGCATCGGACTGCTGGGCTCAGGCAATCCTTCTGCCTCAGCCTTCCAAGTAGCTAGAACTACAGGCGCACCACCATGCCCAGCTAAATTTTTGATTTATTGTAGAAATGAGGTCTTGCCAAGGCGCCCAAGCTGTTCTCAAACCCATAAGCTCAGGGAATCCTCTCATTCCGGCATCCTAAAGTACTGGGATTACAGGCTTGAATAAAACTTTCTGAATACCATAATCCTCTTGTATTCTGTGATTTGCCCAACTTACAAGGTGGACACATTTATCAGCTTATAGGTGGGAATTAAATTGGATCACTGAAATTTGGGCCAGTGTACACAGTGTGAACAGAGCAAATTTTTTTGTACTTGCAAGCTATGCCTGTGGCCTATGAAGAAGCAGTCCTGGGCTTATTGTGAACCTTCCATATCTTTGTTTTAAATATCATCTCCAAATTGTTTACTAAGTTCAATATTAATGGAAGTTGTTTGTTAGATGATAAGAGAAATCAATTACACATAGCCTATTTTAAAATTACCCTCACTTGATTTGTTAGTATATATATTTGTGTCTGTTGTGGGAAATTAAACTTCAGAAATGTTCCCTTTCAGTGATAGAACAAATAGAAATCTGGCTTGTGGCGTCTACTTGCTTCTTGTTCTTTTAGACTAGTAGAGGAAAACAGCAAGTACTCACTACCACTAATGTAAAAATTTTCCAAATCTGCTGCTCTGGGGGCTGATCTCTTTTTAGAGGTTATATTAGGAAAAAGAAAAGGCCAGTTCTCTATGATTTGTATCCTTTGTTGCAAGCCTAATGGCAAAGGGTTGAAGATAAAGTTCAACTACTCAATGAAGTGTAACTTTGAAAAGTGATATTACCAAACCTAGAGGGACCATCTTAAAATCAGAAAAGAAGGACACTGTGTCTTCCAGGTTAAGAATGCCCAGCTGGCAGGGGCCAGGGGAATCATTCTGTACTCGGACCCTGCTGACTACTTTGCTCCTGGTGTGGAGGCTTACCCAGACGGTTGGAATCTTCCTGGAGGTGGTGTCCAGCGTGGGAATGTCTTAAATCTTAATGGTGCAGGGGACCCTCTCACACCAGGTTACCCAGCAAATGGTGAGTGATCAGGCCTCAGTTATCCCTGGACACTTGAATTTATTTATTTATTTATTTTGAGTTGGAGACTCAACTCTGTTGCCCAGGCTGGAGTTCAGTGGCACGCTCATAGTCTCCGCAGCCCCGCAGCCTTGACCTGCTGGGCTCAGGTGAGCTTTCCTCCTTAGCCTACCAAGTAGCTGGAACTACAGGCATGTGCCACCACACCCACTATTTTTTTATTTATTGTATAGAAGAGGTCTTGCCAAGTTGCCAAGGTTGGTCTTGAACCCATGGGCTCAGACAATACTCTCACCTCAGCCTCCGAAAGTGCTGGGATTATAGGCGTGAGCCACTGCGCCCGGCCGAAGCTTAACTTTTTAAAGTGACTTTACTAAACAATTTTCTTTGACATAATGAATTGTGTCTTTTTCTAATTCTCTTTGCATTTAAGAATTAATTTAGCACTCTGAAAATTTTGGGTGCAGATCCCTTATACCTCGTTTGGAACCTTGGAGCCAGATGGGTTTTGGAATTCAGAATTTTTCAGATACTTAAAAAATAATATGGCCTCTATAACATGTATTGCATAACATTAACATAGGGGACTGGGACCGAATATAGGAAACAAGCATGTACATATATTTGCATCAGAATGTATGACTACTCACACAAGGGAATAAATTAAGGAATATAGTTAGATTCATGTATTCAAGTCAAATTTTGTTGTCAAGTGAGTTCAGGTAAGATCAGCTTTTGCTGTCAAGTAAATTTCCCCCAAATTCATGGTTTCACAGTTGTTTGGATTCCGCAACTGTGGGTAGTGTACAGGAGGACAATTCTGTAAATTTGTTAGATGGCACATACAGAATATAGAGTTTTGTTGCTATGGAAAGATAATAGAGAGAACTTTTAGGGAGTATTTCCTAAATACTAGCATTTTACTTGGCATTAACAACCCTATAAGCCAGATGGTCTCAATAGGGGAGAAAGGTGACACTGGAAGAAGTGAGCAGTCTGCCTGAGATGTCCACACCTCTCAGTGAGAAGATGGGATTCCAATTTCAGGTAGCCTGGCCCCCAGAATCCACAAGTCTGATGCTGAAATGTGCCCCTATAAACTATTAATAAAGTGAGCTAACTTACTTTGAATATACTCAGCTATCTGATAATGTTTACAAAAATCTGTGCTTATTTAGTTTGAGTAGTTTAAAGCTAACAAAATTTGTATAACTTGGGTAAAATAATTTGCCAAAGTATCTGTGGGATTTACATATTTATTCGTCATCCATTTCTTTCCCCCCATCAAATTGTAGACTCCTTTCTCCTCTAAAGATTTTATTTTCTTTTGTCTTTGTAAATCTTCTTGGAATACAGCATATTGTCACATTTTAAAAAATTACATATTTCCCTATAATAAAACATATGACTTATCTGACTCTATCTGAATTTGACTTGCTCTACTTTTTTATTTCCAAGTTAAAAAAAATACAGCTTCTTCCAAGAAGCTCCCATACAAGATATCATTATGTCATTTCACCTGTAAAAAGAATAAACTTTTGCAATTACCTAAGTTTCTGACTAGATAATTTAAAAACTTGGAGGAAAAAATGAAAGAGCAGCTTACATTTTTCTTAATTCTGAAAAAAATGATAGAATGTGTGTTCTTATATTGAGATAGAGTTTACATGTAATCAAATGCATACATCTTAAAAGTTGCATTCAATAAATTTTGGAAATTGCACACATTTATGTCATCCAAAATAAGATATAAGGGCGTTTTCATCATTCCAGAAAGTTCTTTTATCCCTTTTTCTGGTCAATTTTCATTGTACCCTCTAGAAGCAATCACTTTCTGATATCTAGCATCATATGTTAGTTTGCTTGGTTTTGAACTTCATATCAATGGAATCAGACAGATTTTTTGTGTGCCTTTCAAGTGTAGTGATTTGAGATTTTTCTATGTTATTGTAGTTTGTTCCTTTTAGTTGTTAAGTAACTTTTCATTGTGGGCTGATAGTATGGATTGTTTATTCATTATCCAGTTGTCAGAAACCTGGACTGTGTCTAACATTTGGCTAATATAAATGTGACTTTTTTGTGGGTGTATATTTCCGTCTTTCTTGAGTGAATACTTAGGAGTGGAATTGCTGTGTTATAGTGCATGTTTCTGTTTGGCGTTACTTTTCCAATGAGTTATCCTAAGTGATTGTCTAGTTTTGGACTCTCACAAGCAATGTGTGAGAGTTTCAGTTGCTCCACATTCTCACTAAAATTTAGAATTGTCAGTCTTTTAAAATTATTCTAGTATGTGACTTATAGAGAACCATTTAAATGGGACTGAGTTTTTATTGGAGGTATGCTTAATTTTTTCTTTTCAGAATATGCTTATAGGAGTGGAATTACAGAGGCTGTTGGTCTTCCAAGTATTCCTGTTCACCCAATTGGATATCATGATGCACAGAAACTTCTAGAGTAAGTTTGTAAGAAACAAATGGATAACTGTTTGGGCAATTCTCATTATTGTTGGTTTTCAAATGTTATGCTTCTATCTTCATTATTTGATACTGAAATTCTCTGAGATGGGTGAAGCGTATAATTTACACTTTATAGGACAGTAGTTCTCTTCTGGAGTTTACTATATGTATGGGTATCCAGTGTGTGACAGTCATGAAAATGAACCTTTCAGATTGCTAACTGCAGGCAGCATATTTGGTCAATTTCTCCAGTCACTGTGCTTCAAAATCCATCACCCTGTTTTTGTCAAGGCCATGCTTACCATAGGTGTTCCCAGGTAGTGACTGAGTGTGGCAGGAATACTATGACAGGCCTGTTCCTTGAAGACTCAAGACTCTTCTGATGTGAAACTTTGACTGAAGGATTCCTTGAGAGCCTGGCTCAGATAGATGCTGCTCCCAGCATGCCTTTCTTTTCTTCTTCGCTGTCTCCTTTACCCAACATCAGACCTGCATTGCAATCTGATGGCTGTCTCAACCTTCCCTAGCTCCATCCTTATTTTTTTTACAGGTCTTTCCCCTAATAAATCTCTTAGTCATGAGTTCCTCTTACTGTCTACATCTTGGAGAACCCAGAATAACATACTGTAAGGGCAGCTTCCATCCTGTTTGTGTCTGTCTTCTTCTTTCTGTCTGCTTTCATTACCGATTGTTTCCAGATTTGTTACTATTTCCTGGCAGTGAAACTCTTCTGGTTTTCTGCACTGCTTACTCCCACCCGCATGCCTCTCCTTCTGCATGATCCTTAAGGAGGGCAGAGAATACTGACTTTTCTGAAAGTAACATTGTTAGAGACCAAAGTGGCAATAGTCCCTTTTATGAATTCAAAGCATTTTTCTTAATTATTTTATTTCCGTATCTAGAAGGAAGCATTTTATGACTAAGTGCAAGATCCTCATTTTTACAGGTGAGGAGACTAATATCTAGAGAATTGAAGGGATCTGTTCAATTAAAGGCAGATAAAGAAAGTATCCTCATCCTTTTTTATTTTTCTTTTGATTGCTTAGCTTTACCACACCGGTTGAGATTCAAAATCAGGCACAATTTTTGAGAGCACTGTGGCCTCTGCATTTGCCTGAAAATATTTATAAATAAAGTCTAAATATTCATGATACTTAAAAGATGAAAGTGATTGTAGCATTACTTATTGTGTAAAACTGAACAACTCAAATCTTCAACAATTGATGAGTAGGCAAATGTATTACTGGCTATAGTAGTAAAAGAGGCCATTAAAAGGTATGTTGCACAAGAATACTCAGTGATATGGAAATATGGTTGTTATTCACTATTAAGTGGGAAAAAAATTAAAACAGTATAATCTCAGTTATATAAGAGCTTTTTTTTTTGAGACAGAGTCTTATTCTATCACCCTGACTGGAGTGCAGTGGCACACTCATGACTAACGCAGCCTCAACCTGCTAGGCTCAAGCAATCCTGCCACAGCCTCTCAAATAACTGGGACTACAGGCATACACCAACATGCCCAGCTAATTTATTGATTTATTGTAGAGACAAGTTGCCCTGGTTGGTCTCAAACCCTTGGCTTAGGCAGTCCTCTTGCCTCTGCCTCCCAAAGTGCTGGGATTACAGGTGTGAACCACTGCTCCCAGTGAAAATTACAGGCTGGGAGCGGTGGCTTATGTCTGTAATCCCAGCACCTTGGGAGACCGACACAGGAGGAGCCCAGAAGTTTGAGACCAGCCAGGGCAACATAGTGAGATCTTGTCTTTACAAAAAGTAAAAAATTAGCCAGGTGTGGTGATGTGTGCCTGTAGTCCCAGCCACTTGAGAAGCTGAGGTGGAAGTATCGCCTGAGCCCAACAGGTTGAGGTTGCCCTGAGCTGTAATCAAGCCACTGCACTCCAACCTGGGTGAGAGTGAGACCTTGACTCAAAAAAAGAAAAGAAAAATTGCAAATGCAATTTAATTTTAATTATTTTAAGTTAACTTCTGTAAGTCATTTTGTAAATACAACCACTATCAAAATAACTTTAATGAAAAATTGCATTTGGCATTAAAAATACTGTAATTAAAAATAGGATGCTTCCTTTTTCTCTACTTATACTTTGTAAGGCATAATGACACATTTTACTTTACTGGAATTTAGTCTTTAAAAATATTTTTAGAAGAACATACAATTTGTTTATAAATTTCACTGTGAAAATGGACTCCCTGCGCACACGTACCTTGGGAGTGTGTAACTGTCCTGATAGTCAATACTGTTTCTCTTAAGTGGCCAGCAGTCTAACATTACGTATTAATCGGAAAAGACAGCGTTCCTCAAGCCTGTAATCCCAGCACTTTGGGAGGCCGACGTGAGAGGATTGCCTAAGCCCAGGGGTTTGAGACCAATCTGGGCAACTTGGTGAGACCTCGTCTCTACAGTAAATAAAAAAAAATTAGCCGGGTGTAGTGGCACATGCCTGTAGTTCCAGCTACTTGGAAGGCTCAGGTGGAAGGATCGCCTGAGTCCAATAGGTCAAGGCTGCGGTGATCATGTGTGTGCTACTGCACTCCAGCCTGGGTGACAGAGTAAGACTCCAACTCAGAAAAAAAAAAAAGGACAGTATTTACAAAGTGGATATATCATTAAATGAAAATTTATTAATAATTATGTGAAAAAAAGAAGAGATAACACAGTCATATAATAGCCCCCATGTGCTGAGGACTTAAGTAAAAAGTTGATGAAATGTGAGCTTTAGTAAAATAAAACTGCATGTTGACTTACCACATGACCAGAAATATAAGTCATTCCACAAATGTACCTTGAGTGAATATCTCTTGGAAGCCATTCAAGGTCTCCTGAGAGAGCTGTAACAGTGAGATTAAAGCCATGACTGATGGAGGTGCCTTCTGAATGGAAGCAGAAGAGAACACCATGTGTGTTCTTTCTTGTTCTTCTTTACATCTACTGAAGGGCCCGTAATTATGTGGTTCTCATTTGCCTTCTGGGGTAACTCTTCGTAGGGTAATGACAGCAACAACAGCAATAGCAATAGCATCTATCATCCTGGAGAACTAATTATGTTCCAGCAGTGACAACTGTGATTAATGCTTTATATATACTTTCTCAACCCACACAACAACTTTTGAGTTGATTGTAACTATTTTAAAATCAGGAAATCAAAGTTCAGAGAATGTGATAGATTTGGGACCCAAACTCTTGTCTGATACAGAAGACAACGTGGTAAACACCACTTAATCTAGACTTAACACCACAAAAGTTAGTGCCTCCCTTGGTCATGGCTTTATCTCACTGTTATGCCTTTGCTCAGGAGACCTTTAATGGCTTCTCATAGCTATTCACTTGAGGTACATTTATGGAATGACTTTCATATTTCCAGCCATGTAGTGAAAATATGAATGACATATAGCCTTTGTTCATAAGTGTGTCACAGTGTAGTACAGAAACTCACAACTTAATAGGGGTTACATGATAAACAGCAAAATTCTAGAACTTCATTGTATCCCCTTCACCATCTAGCTCCCACATCTATTACAAAAATTAAACTCATTTTTTGAGAAATGAATTCATATGCAAGTGTAAGAAATAATACAGAGAGTTCCCATATACCATTTACCGGTTTCCCCCAATGGTAATTATCTTGCAACATACGGTATAATGTCACCACCAAGATGCTGATATTGATTCATCAAGATACAAAACATTTCCATCACCACAAGAATTCCTCATGCTGCCCTTTCATGGCCACACTCACTTCATCTCACCTCCCCCATATCCTCTGAACTTACCCCTAGCAACTATTGGATCTGTTCACCAATTCTATAATTTTGTCATTTTAAGAATGTAACATAAATTTCCTCAGATATGTAACCTTTGGAGATTTTTTTTCCCACTCACCATAACTCTCTGGAGATTTGTTTAATTTGTTTGTGTATGAACAGTTTGTTTCGTTTTTCTGCTGAGTAGTATTCTATTATAAAATGGGACCACAGTTTGTTTAACTTTAACCAACTGAAAGACAATTGGGCTATTCCCAGTTTGTGATTACAAATAAAGCTGATATGAGTAATTGTGTACAGATTTCAGAATAAGCTTTTATTTTTTAATTTTGAATAATAATAAATATTTAAAATATATAAATAAAATAAATAATATTTAAAATAAAATGTAAAAATAATAAATAATCATTATTATTATTATTTGCGTCAGGATCTCACTCTGTTGCCCAGGCTGGAGTGCAGTGGAACAAACCTCCTGAACTTTGGCAATCCTTCCACGTCAGCCACCTGAGTTGCAGGGACTACAGGGACGTGTCACCACATTTTTTTTTTACTTTTTGTAGAGATGAGGTCTTGCTTTGTTGCCTACATTGGTCTCGAACTCTTAGCCTCAGACAATCCTCTCACCTCGGCCTTCCAAATTGCTGTGATTATAGGCATGAGCCACCGTGCCTGGTCTAGTTTTCATTTCTGTGTAGTTGCTGGGTCATATGATAATAGGGTATTTACTTTTGTAAGTAACTAACAAACTTTATAGCAGTGGTCCCCAAACTTTTTGGCATCAGGGACTAGTTTTGTGGAAGACAATTTTTCCACAGATGAGGGCGGGGGGACAGTTTCAGCATTACATTTATTGTGCACTTTATTTCTATTTCTACATTGTAATATATAATGAAATAATTATACAATTCACCATAATGCAGAATCATTGGGAGTCCTGAGCTTGTTTTCCTGCAACTAGATGGTCCCATCTGGGGGTGATGGGAGACAGCACTAGCATCACCATCTCAGCTTCACCTCAGATCATCAGGTATTAGATTCTCATAAGCAGCACACAACCTAGATCGTTCACATGCTCAGTTCACAATACGGTTTGTGCACTTATGAGAATCTAATGCCACCACTGAACTGACAGAAAATGGAGCTTAGGTGGTAATGCATGCATTGGGGAGCGACTGTAAATACAGATAAAACTTTGCTTACTCATCTATCACTCACCTCCTGGTGGCCCAGTTCCCGACGAGGGACCCCTGGTTTAGAGTGACGGCACCATTTTACATCCTACCAGCGATATAGTTTCTTCCAATACTTTCATAAGCACTTTCTCATGTTTTGACATAATGAAATATCAGGCTCACTTGGTGTTTTCTTTCAATGTTCCTTGTTTTATGCCAGTTTTTCTTTTTTAATCATGAGTGAGTGTTGAATTTTGCCAGTTTCTTATGCTGTTTTAAAATTTTACATCAATTAATTTGATCATATGGTTTTTCTTCTTTTACTTTTTAATGTGGAATATTACACTGATTTTTTAAAAAATGTTGTGCCAACCTTGCATTCCTGGAATAAATTCCACTTAGTCATGGTATATGATTCTTTCACTATGCTGTTGAATTTTGTTTGCTAGTATTTTGTTGAGGATTTTTCCATCAATATTCATAACTTTATCACAAGATAGTAGTCTGTAGTTTTCTTTTTTGTTATTCTTAAAAGTCTGTTTTTGTTACTAGGGTAATATTTGCCACTTAGAATAAGTTTGGAAATATTTCCTCTTTCATTTTTTGGAAGAATGTGTGAAGAACTTGTGTTCATTCTTTAAATGTTTGGTAGAATTGAACAGTGAAGCCCTCTAATACTGGGCTTCTCTTTCTGAGAAGTTTCTATTACTTATTTAATCTCTCGTTATAGTCTGTTCACATTTTCTCTTCTTGAGTCAGTTTTGGTATACTGTGCCTCTAGGAATTTGTCCATTTTACTTAGGTTATCTAATTTTTTAGTACATAATTGGTCATAGTACTTTTAATAATACTTTTCATTTCAGTAAAATTGGTAATAATGTCCTCTCTTGTTATCCTGATTTTAATAATTACAGTCTTCTTTCCTTTTAACTTGGTCAGTTTAACTAGTGGTTTGCCAGTTTTGTTGATCTTTTTAAAGAACCAACTTTGGTTTCATTGTTTTTTCTACTTTTTTCACTTTTCTATTTTATTATTTCTGTTCCCATCTGTATCATTTTTTATGCTTTAAGGGCTTAATTTGCTTTTCTTTATCTAGTTTCATAAGATGAAAGATTAGTTTATTTATTTAAAAACTTTCTACTTTTTAAATGTAGGTGTTTATAGTTGTATAGTTTCCTGTAACTACTACTTTAACTGTATCCCATAAGTTTTGTTGTGTCTTTTTAAAAATTAATTTCAAAGTATTTTTAAGTTGAATTTGTTATTTCTTCTTTAACACATTGGTTATTTATGGTCTGTTTGTTTAATTTTCACATATTTGTGATTTTCCGAAATTTACTTCTGTTATTGATTGTTAAATTCTTTTTATTGTGTTTGGATTAATTTTAAAAAGTGTATAAGTAATAAAATGATCATATGATTTCAACCTTTTAAACTTATCAGTCTTACTTACAGTCCAATGTATTTTCTATCCTGAAAAAATCTCCTGTGTACATTTGGAAAGAATATGGATTTGTTCGTTGATGTATGGAGTGTTCTGTATGCTCCACTAGCCTTTCTGGTTTGCCAGCTTCATCAGCTCCAAGTCTGGAGATATGAACTAAAAGATAATCCAGGGGATTCCTTGCTGTTTCATTTTTCTGTGTCCTGAGGTGCCTAGCTGGTTTATTTTCTTCTTTCCAGTTTTCAGAGTTGTGTGTGTGCGTGTGTGTGTGTGTGCGCGCGCGCATGTGTGTGTACATGCACCTTCTGCATCTTCCCAGAAGTGAGTTGTGCTTTTCAAGCTTTATTCTCAAAATGCCCTAATCCTTTCATACTCCACCAAGTTAATCCCCATGCCTTACACTTGCTCTATAGTTCTTGCCTCCATGTCTCTTTACATCATACCCTGTACCTAGAATGCTCTTCACCTCCATCTTCCCATGCCCAGCTCTTACTCATTCCTTAAAATCCAGATCAAGTCAAACCTCATTTAGAAAGCAGTTTTTGATCACAAAGGCTAAATCAAGTTTTCCTTTGTCCATATTCTGTAGAGTTTAATCTATCATCTGTCATGTTCTATGTTATATTATGATTCGTTTTATATGTAAATTTTATATATATTTTTTCCTGAGTGACTTATAAACTCTTTGGTGGAAAGACCATGTCTTGTAAATACTTGTATTTCTTAGTGAGTAGAACACAGTGCCTTGAGGATAGTAGACAACAAATTTTTGCCAAATGGTTAAATCAAAATTAATATGCTATAAAAGATACAGGTTTATACATTCTATACTGTTTACGCATAATTATTGAGCATCTGTAATCTACTAAATATTTTTTAGAGATATTAGCATTTATATTTCTGATATTTTTATCGTTTGAAATTGCAGTATTCAACTTTTTAATTTTTCTGGAATTTATTTTTTTATTTATAGAATGAGAGGAAAACTAAATAAATTTGTATCTCAGTAACATTTATCGACTAAAACCTTTGTTCTCCTTGCAATCTGTGATATTTCCTTCAGCAGTATATTCGATTCTTACATGTAATTACTATTATGTTCTGTTCTAGTCATCTGTTTACCTGTTCTTCTTGGGGGCTTTGCAATCTTGGCTTTCTGTTTTATTGTTTGTGAGAACAGGATCTATTAATTATCTTTCTTATGTTATAATATATACTTGCCTGTCATTGTTTTTGACTAATTTACTTTATTTTGTTTCTCATAGTTTAATTTTGAAACGAAAATAAGCTTACAAAGTTCACACTTCAGAAGGATTTATAGTACAGTTTCCTTCTTACTAACAGCCTAAAGGCAACCAATGTTATTAGTGTTTAGTGTATCTTTGAAGAAATACTCTATGTATAATCAAGCATTTGTATTTTCCTCACTTGTCTTTCACAACTTTTTTTTGCCATATTTAATACCCTACTCTTTTGACAATGGACCTCACTTTCTACCAAGTAAAATGTCTCTTCATGTTACTTGATGATTTTTATGTAAACTCTATTATAAGTATATAAATATATTTTATAGTATGTTACTTGATATCCCATTTATTAGCTAAACTGCCTAGTGAGATAAGAAGAAAAAAATTTGTTGTTTGATAGAGCATTTTAAAACAATACTATTTCTAGTTATTTTTCCATGAGAAGATGATCTGACTGGTTATTTTATGATTGCATGCTCAGTAGATTCAAGATAAATTTGAGCTATTCACAGAGGCAGGCAGGGAACAAGGTCTGTACCACAGATACAGAAGGAAGCAAGAAAGTGTAGTGCATGCTCCCTCACAGAGCCTGGATTGCACAAGGGTGTGTAATCAGGGAGGAAGCTGTCACAGATAGACTGAGAGTTTTCACTCTACATTTCATATTTAAACACTTCAATATAATTTTAAATAATGACATTTGTTTGTCAGGGTTATTACTTAAGTGGAACTGCATTGAAGGTTTGCAATGATCATTTAACAGGAACAAATGGCCCTAGGAGAGCCAGCAAACAAGGCTGTTCCTGCCCTATGGTTGATATGCTTCAAAGTTAATAGTTATAGTAGACAGATTTATTTTGAGCTCTCAGTCCCTTAAGTTTGTCGGAAACCACATTCATCCATCTGCGGCTCTTTAGTGAAGATACATTGGTTTCCTGCTCAACTCAATAAATTGTTGGGTGTGGTGTCTCATACCTGTAATCCCAGCACTTTGGGAGGCAGAGGCAAGAGGATTGTCTGAGCCCAGAGGTTCAAGACCAGCTTGGATAACTTGACAAGACCTCATCTCTACAATAAATAAAAAGTTTAGCTGGGTGTAGTGGCATACGCCTGTGGTTCCAGGTACTTGGAAGGATCTTCTGAGCCCAGCAGATCGAGACTGCAGTAGCCCTGAGTGTATCACTACACTTCAGCCTGGGTGACATAATGAGTCTCCAACTCAAAAAAAAAGCAAAAAAAAAAAAAAAAAAGCCAATCCATTCTCTTAATACAGTAAAGACCAATGTATTGAAGTGAAACTATAAGACCCACACCGCTTCATAGATACTGCTGTATTATCTTGCTCAGTTACCTGCTGAGTGATAACCAGGGACTAGTGGCATATACTGAGTCTTTTTGAATAAATAAAATAGTGTGAAGCTTTTAGGAGCCACTGAGGTGAAATCCTTTGTTTTGCTCTTCCTAATAGATGTGTGAAATTACTTTGTAGAGGATGACCATATACATATTTGGGACTTTATTTATCAGTGGGAGAAATAGCATAATGGAAAATTACAGAGAGTTAGACAACAAGTTCTTTCTTCAGGACATGCTCTGGAAAGCACTTTTAACATGATTGACTGCTGTTAACACTGAGTTCAAAATCTTATCAATCTTATCAATAATTAGAATACCAGCTACACCACTTACCAGTTGCATGCTTTGCACCTGTATCTATTCCCCCCAACCGCATGCTCATCTGTGAAGTCGGGATAATAATACCTCATAAGGTTGTAGTAAGATTGTATTATATGCAAAGCCCTTTGCACTGTCCCTGAGTCACTGAAGCCATTATGACTGGCATTCAATAAAATGAATTCATTGACATTTTAACTTGTAACTTCAAGATTTCCCTTTAGTTAATAATATTTTTGTGTCCAACAGGAGGATGGGTGGCTCAACATCCCCAGATAGCAGCTGGAGAGGAAGTCTCAAGGTGCCCTATAATGTTGGACCTGGCTTTACTGGAAACTTTTCTACACAGTTAAGACACTATTTTAATTTTAATTCTTTTTAGGGTGAACCTTTAAACAATTATAGAGGATGACAGAAAAAGTAAAATATATCTATCACCAGCAGGGAACAAAACTGCAAGTTGAAAAGGGGAATACTCCCTTATTAAAATTGGCGAATGTCATTTTTGCCTGTGTACAAGAGGTGAGTGACTTGCCTGAGCCCAAGGGTTCGAGACCCACCTGGGCAACTTGGCAAGACCTCATCTCTACAATAAATCAAAAAATTAGCCAGGCATGGTAGCACGCGCCTGTAGTTCCAGCTACTTGGAAGGCTGAGGCGGAAGGATCACCGGAGCCCAGCAGGTCGAGGCTGCGGTGGCCAGGAGCGGCCACTGCACTCCAGTTTGGGCGAGAGAGCGAGACTCTAACTCCAAAAAAAAAAAAAGAAATCTTTTAAACAATGACAGAAGATTTAAAAATTGTGAGTGTTGTTGGGTCTCAACAAAAAGAGATGGTACTTTGGTGAGCTGAACTTCAGAACCCAGGACTTTCCCACCTCCCACTTCTCCTGCTAAGTGCACAGTGGAACTCTCTCTGAAGTTCCCTTATCTGAAGCTCCTCCAGAAGAAACAAAATTGTCTTTGTTCCCCTCCCTGAAATGTTATTAACCAGGGAAGATTGAACTCCTGGTTGGAAGGAAGACTGAGGAATGTCGTCACATCTGGACAAACTTTGTCACAACTGTTGACTGTTCTCTGATTCCATTTAATTTCTAAAGAGATTGATTTACAAACTATTGTCTGCTCTTTGGACCCCTTCAACTCCCCTAAAAATCATTTACTATACTTTCAAGTTGCCTGAGTTTCCCATCTCCCTCTCCCTTATGAAAAGGGTGCTATTTAAGCTTCAGCTATCCAGCTGAGACTTACTCATAGTTTGGCCCTATGTTACACTTGCACATAAATACATTTTCATGACTTTTCTTCTTTTAATGTATTGTCAGTTTTTTCCAGCAGACTAGAACCTTCAGAAGGGTAGGGGAAAATTCTTCAGTGTTTATCTGGTAACCAATTCTTTTTTTTTTTTTTTTAAGAAAGTGTCTTTTGTCTTTGCATTAGAAAAGTCAAGATGCATATCCATTCCAACAGTAAAGTGACAAGAATTTACAATGTGATAGGTACTCTCAGAGGAGCAGTGGAACCAGGTAAATGAGTCTTTTTCAGCAAATATTGGTTGAGCAAATGCTAAGTACCAAGTAAAACCAAACTCTGGGAGTGTAAGGTGAATTAAAAAAAAATATTTGCCCTAATGGAACTCACTTAAACAAAAAATAAATATGAGATAATTTTGTATTGCAACACATGATGTAAAGAAAAGTGAATGATTGGGCTATGTTGTGCAGATAACCAAGATAAGTGATCATGTGTAGGTCTCAAAGGATCGAGGGAGGAAGAATAGGAAGAGTTTTTGAGGTCATTTCTCTGAGATTTCAGGATTTGTTTACCATATATTTTGCATAGGGAAATATCTTCATGGTGTCTATAAACATCATTATAAGAGGTAGCATTCCTAAAAAATTAAAGTAACTTTAATTAATTAATTTTTTACATAGTTTTATTTTCTATGACTAAAGTCATTGATGAAATATACAGACACATAATTTCCGTAGGATTTCAGATGACTTACTGATTAATGTATTTTATATATTACTCTTACTTCATTATGCTTCAGTTTCATAGGAACTATCTGGCACTTTACTTCTTACCAAAACAGATACCATTAAATTGCATGTGTTTCTTATAAGCAGCTGGTGATTTCTCTTAATATTTCCTATCCTTCCAGTGAATACTAAACAGTATATAATGAACTATTCTTGAGCCCTGTTGAGTACCTATTTTGTGCCAGCCCTGCTAAGCATTGGGACTGAAGAGATACAGGGAAGACACAGACCAGAAACCAGGAGCTCCCGGTTTGATGGGGAGCAATACATTTAAGTGTGATATATGCTCTACCAACCCTGAGAGCTAGAGAGACAGAACAATTCTCTCTTCCTTTAGAAAATAGAAAAAGTTCATAGAAAAGATATTTGAGCTGTACGTTAAAAATGGAATAGAAGGAATAGAAAGAGGAGAACTTACTGGGTGGCCACTGTATTCTCTTACTCTAAAAATACAAGAGACCAAGTGGCAAGTAAGGTAAGATAGGAGTAATAAGGAATTGCATGAATACACAAATAAGGATAATTGTATATGCTTCTAATTACTTATATGCAGTACTTGTAATTACAGCAATACACTGAAGTGTATGTTTGCCATAGCAACATTCATGCTTCTTTCAGGTAAAGGAAAAACATACTAAGATCGGAAATAATATATTTGCACAGGGCTTCAGGAACCTTGCTATTTTTCTTTTACCCATGAGTGTTTTGTGTTTAGGTGCTATAGAGTCATTTGCAATTTGCCTTGTTATTGACCTGAAATGACAATCTCACTATGGTGCTTTCTAGACAGATATGTCATTTTTGGAGGTCATCGAGACTCATGGGTGTTTGGTGGCATTGACCCTCAGAGTGGAGCAGCTGTTGTCCATGAAATTGTGAGGAGCTTTGGAAGACTGAAAAAGGAAGGTAATATACATGAAGAGCAAAAAGGCCAAGCTCTTTGAATCTCAGTTTAGCCTTCAGGAAGTTGAATGTAAAATGACTGGGCACTGTGGCTCATGTCTGTAATTCCAGCACTTTGGGAGGCCAAGGTGAGAGGATTCCTTGAGTCTAGGAGTTTGACACCAGGCTAAGCAGTATAGCAAGTCCTCACCTCTACAAAAAAAAAAAAAAAAAAAATAGCTGGGTGTGATGGCATGCGCCTATAGTCCCAGCTACTCAAGAGGCTGAGGCGGAAAGATCTCCTCACACAAGGGTTAGAGGTGTGAGAATATGTTGCGGGAAAACAAATCAGAGAGACTATGACACTGAGGGTGGTAAGCAGGAAGCTGCATTTATTTCTGCAATGTTGACGTTTAGTCCTGCGAACTCCAGTCGCAAAGACTGGGCCCCGATCGCAGTCGGGCCTCAGCTTTTATATGTTTTACATTGGCTTTGGTGGAAGGGGCTTTTCAAGGTGGAAAGTTTTGTACTTTTTGTAACACTAGCACAAACTTGTGGTTTTGGCTGCAGATGTGGAGCATGGCATGGTATACTGCACCTGAGGAAGTTACACAGAAGGGGCTCAGGTTTCAGCTGCAGGCACTGAGCGCCAGCATTTGCATTAACAAACCAGAACATTTTAACTGTAATATATGTTTTGAAGCATTGTCTAAAAGCCCCCTACCACAAATAGATGCCAAACATTTGACAGAATCCTCCTAGGCAGTAAGGTCAGTATTTTTCTGACCAGAGCCCCTATCATCTTAAATCCTCAATACATTTGACTTGAGGCGAGAGGCTAGAAGAACCCAGGGAACTTCTGCTTATAGTTCCCTGACTAGGAAGTTTTGGCTTATAACGTGATTCTGGTGCGTCCTCTGCAATGAAGAAACCCATCTTCAACTTAGTTGCCAAGAGACACCAATAAGTATATAAATCCACATATTTCAAACTATCATTTAGTACATAAATATTAATAATATAAATATATGAATGCAAAAATAAACACTGCAATTCACTAGCTAACATGAATGGTTGCATTGGTGTTTTTACCAATACTGGTAATGTTGAGATGGTATCAAAAACTAAACTAACCTAAAATGTAGTTCAAATGTTTGGTTTCTTAAATTTAATTTTTTATTTTAGAATTGGGGATGCATGTGAAGATTGTTACATAGGTATATTTGTGATAACAATCATTACACATCAAGAGTAGAGAGTCCATTCTCTTTACTGACTCTGGAAACAGGTGTCTGGGGCTGTAAAATGTAAACCATATATATTTTAGCAATAATAAAAACAATGGCAAAAGTATGTTAATTTGTATGGTCCTTACTTTCTTAGGAAAACTATATGCACGAGTGTCACCTATTTGGTAACACGGAGAAGTTACCTATTATTCCTGTTTTCATTTTACAGCAAAGTTAACCTAGGTTCAGAGAATCAATTAATATGTCTGGGATTATATAGCTAGTGTGTGGCAGAATGACAGAACCAGGGATTAAACTCAAATTTCTGGCTACCAATCCACAAGACCATGATGTCTCTGTTTAAAATAAAATGTAGAAGTGTTCCATTCTCTTTTTCACATAGTTATGCTATATTTTAAGAAAACAAAACAATGGAAACATGAATTTACATAGTTTATGAATTAAGTAGTAATTAATCTTTAAACAATTTTTAATTTAATTTTATTTTATTTTAAAGTTGTGGGGTGCAAGTCAGGATTGTGTACATAAGTGGCTTAGGTACAGGTGAAGTTTGGGGCCTCCCATTGGACTTCACCTCACCTACTGTGGGAGACCAGCACCTGCAAAGAGATTTAGGGGGTCCCTGGGAGGTGTGGTGGTGTCAGCAATTATTCTGGAGAAATAAAGAGAAAGAAAGAGAGAGACGGGGGGAGAAAGAAAGAGACTGGACTCTGTCTAGTGCAGAAGCCGTTTAATGGGGCGAACCGTAAGCCTTTTATCCCAAAATTTCACAGGTTAAATCATAAGACTTTCACGTGAACACAAAGCCAGGTGGGTGAGGGGCGTCCCCCACCCACCAGGTGTTTCCTCAGGCATGAGGAGGAACAATCCCAATTAAATCGCAAAACTTTTACATAAACATAAAGCCAGGTGAATGAGGGACGTTCCCCACCCACCAGGTGTTTTCTCAATCATGAGGAAGGAGGATGCTAAAATTATCTCACTGTTCCTCATGCTTGGTTAATATTCCTCAAAAGCAATACAACAATTCTAATTCATAATATTCTAATAATCAAAAACTTTTAAAACTTATGCATACACAACACCTAATGACAAACTTAAATCCCAATTCCTTTCTATTTTATGCTAATTCTACCTACACTATAGAAACTCTTAATTATAGCCCAAACCAGTTCCTAAGAAATGTGGCCCAGCACAAACTGGGCTTTCTAGTAACTCTAGATAATTAACTATATTATTAAGATTGAAACAGCACTTTATATGTATATATTAATTCTACAAATATACTTTTAAATCTTATAAAGAAGCTTGTACCATATTAAAGGCTCCCAAATGTGACCTGAGTTTGAATTATGTTAAGTTTAAAGCCGAAACCGCAGTCTGTGAGAAACGGGAACAATGGACTCCTAAAACAAGCCATGCCTGTCGTACTCTCAGAGCTTCATGCTTAGATCATCAAAGTCCCTGCTAGTGGGATGTGCCAAACAGCAAAGACGAGAAGAGGGAACGGACCATCAGCTCCTGAACTCATCCTAGTGGTCTCAGGGTTCACAGCCCACCTGGATCCCTAACGCTCAGATGGGGCCTCCTCAGCCGGCTCCCAATAACCTACTTAGGACCAGGCACCCTTATTGATGTTATGTGTCCCCCCCCAATCCCCTGGCAATGTCCTGCTACTGCCAATCCCTTTTTCCTTTTTTGTAGTATTATAATAGGTGTTCAGCGTCCACTTATTAGTGAGAACACGTGGCTCTCAGTTTTTTGTTTCTGTGATATATCACTGAGGATGATAGACTCCAAATTCATCCAGGTTTTTGAGAAGTCCATAATTTTGTACTTTATGGCTGCATAGTATTCCATTGTGCATATGTGCCACGTTTTTAAAATGCCCAGTTTTGATAGCACGATTGGTTCCACGTTTTTGCTGTCATAATTAGTGCTGCAATAAACACATGTGTGCAGGTATCTTTTTTGCAGAAAGATTTGAGTTCCTCTGGGTATATATTCGAATTCCTCTGGGTCATATGGAAAGTCAATTTCTACTTCTTTGAGGAATCACCAAACTGTTTCCCATAGAGAATGAATTAGTTTGTACTCCAACCAGTGGTGTAGAAGCATTTCCTTTTCTCTGCATCCTTGCTAGCATCTATTGTTTTTTGTTTTTTTAATGATGGCCATTCTTACTGGAGTTAGGTGGTATCTCAAAGTAGTTTTGATTTGCATTTCTCTGATGATTAGTGAGGCTGAGAGTTTTTTCATGTGTCTGTTGGCTGCTCATATGTCTTCTTTTGAGAAGTGTCTGTTCTTGTCATTTGCCCATTTTTTTAATGGGGCTGTTCCCCTCACCCTTCAGCACTTTTGAGTTCCTTGTAGATTCTGGATGTTAGGCCTTTGTCAGATATACAGTTGGAAAATATCCCATTTGGCTGTCTCCTTGCTCTCTTGATGGTTTCTTTTGCTTTGCAGAAGCTTTCATTTTAATGACGTCCCACTTGTCTATCTTATCTCTTATGGCATGGGCTTTTGGAGTTTTGATAAGGAATTGATTGCCTAATCCAATTTCTGTAACAGTGTCTCCTGTGTTTTCTAAGATTCTTAAAATTTGAGGTTTTACATTTAGGTGTTTGATTCATTTGGAGTTGATTTTTGTATATAGTGATAGGTAGGGGTGCTGTTTCAATCTTGTGCATGCGGTCAGCCAGTTTTCCCAGCACCATTTACTTAATAGGTTCTCCTCTCCCCAGTGGTTGTTGGCTGAGCTTTATTGAAGATAAGTTGGTTGAGAAATTGAGGTTTTGCTTCTGGAATCTCTATCCTGTTCCATTGGTCTCTATGCCTGTTCTTGTACCAATATCAGTTGTTTTTATTATAGTAACCTTATAATAAATTTTAAAGTCTGGGAGTGTGATACTGCTAGCTTTGTTTCTTTTGCTGAGGATTGTTTTGGCTATTCATGGTCATTTTTGTTTCCATATGAATTTCTGTATTGTCATTTACAGGTCTGAGAAGAATGATGCAAGTAATTTAATGGGTATTGCATTGAACCTGTAGATTGCCTTGGATAGGATGGACAGCTTAACAAAGTTGATTCTTCCAATCCATAAGAATGGAACATTTTTCCATTTGTTTGTATCTTCTTTGATTTCTTTGAGCATTGCTTTATAATTTTCATTGTAAAGATCTTTCACTTCTCTGGTTAAGAATATGCCGGGGTATTACAGTTTTTTGGTGACTATTGTGAATGGAATTTTACTTTTTATTTGGTTTTCTAGTGTATAAAAATGTGACTGTGCTTTGCATGTTTATTTTATACCCTGGGACTTTGCAAAGTCTTTTATCAGTGCAAGGAGGTTTTTGACAAATTCTCTTAGGTTTTCAAGTCATAGCATCATGTTGTCAGCAAAGAGGGATAACTTAACTTCCTCTTTTCCTATTTGGATACCCTTGATTTCCTTCTCTTGTCTGATTGCTCTAGCTAAGATTTTCAACACTATGTTGAACAGGAGGGGTGAGAGTGGGCAGATTTATCTTGTTCTGGTTTTCAGAGGAAATGTTTCCAATATCTGTCTAATTTCTGTTGGCTCTAGGTTTATCATAGATGATTTTTACTATTTTGAGATATGTTCCCTCTGTATCTAGGCATTCGAGGGTTTTTATCAAGAATGGATGTGGATTTTGTTGAAAGCCTTTTCTGAGTCTAATGATATAATCATGTAGTTATTGATTTTCCATCTGTTAATGTATTTAATTTTATTTATGGTCTTGCAGATGTTA